GATTAAGATATCAAGTAAATATAATCAATAATTAATAATTTTAGTTTTTATAAATTTTATAATTTTAACTTAAAATTTTGTTAAATTTCGTATTTATTTCTCAATATACTATTATAATTAATCAAGAAATAAAATCAAAAATAGTTTTAATATTTTTAAATAAAATTTAAAATTTATTGTAGTTGTTAATGTTAAAACTTATTTTAAATAAGTTATCAAAATTTGGTTTTTAATTTTTATTTTTAATAATATAAAATTTATAAAAATTAAAATTAAAAACTAACCACTACAATTATATTAAAGGAAACATAATATTCAAGCTTCATTTCTTAACTATTAGAGCATCTAAAATGAATTGGTAAACATAAACTAGATAGTTGTATTATTTTATAATTACCACTGTAAATTTCTAGCAGGTTGACATTATATCCGCACTTTGAACTGGGAATTGGATAACCTTTTTGTAACTAAAATTAAGAAACGGAAAGGCATAATAAACCTCTGATATCAGGCCCATGAAAATTATTATGTTCTTAAAAGCTGGAGGCCCAATTAAACTTGTTTTAATGCACGTGAAACTCCAACTGGGCCTTTCCTTGGGCCTCAAGCTATAAAAAACTGAAAGCTTTTGTTAGAGAATTGTTTGGGCTTTAGAAGCTCCAATCAAAGCCCTTACTGGCTTTAATTTGTTTACCACCATTGAGGTGGTGAAGAAGGCTGCAAGTAGAAAATAGGCATATTTTTCTTTTATAGTATGTTGGGTTGAGAAGAATAAAGGGAGAAAAGAGAGAGAAAATTTTTTACTTTATTTATTTTTAATTAATTAATTTATTTAAATGAGGGGAATATAGGAAATGGGATTATACTTTCATTCTCCTCCCATTCCTTTTCTTTCATCCTAGTCAACTCAAAATACTTTTTCTAAAAATTAATGTAGGTAAAAATTTATTTTAAAAAAATTAGGAAAAAGAACATAAAATTATTACTAATTCAAAAATATTATAGTTACCATGCAAATAAAAGATTTTAAATTTGAATTAATATAATTATGATATGGTTAAAAATTATTTTCTGTTCTCTTCCTATAAAATAAAGGAAATTAGGAAAAATTATGATATACTTACAATGTTATAGAAAAAATTATTACTAATTCAAAAATGCTATAGTAACAATACAATTAAGAGATTTTAAATTTGAATTAGAAGGAGACTAGGGATTTTCCTATAGCATTGTAATTATAATATTTTCTAATTATTAATAATTTTCTTTTAATGTAAATAATATATTTTAAATTCAAATCACATAACATGTTAATATAGAATGAGTTTTTTTTCTCTATTATTTATTCTTAAGGTGTCTCTAAACCATTTTCGTGTACCTTAAGACTAATATCTTTTCAAATTATCTTAAAAGTGCATTCTCACGTTGATTTGATGTATTTTAAAAAAAAATTAATTTCCTTAAATATTGAACCAAAAACCTCAACCTTGAACTTGCCCATGGTATATTGGTAAAGGATGGGTGCTGGTGCCAAAACTTTAACCTTGAACTTGGCCATGGTATATTGGTTATAGGAGGAGTTTTTTTTTTTTTTTTTGTATTTATTGTCAGGGTGTCTCTTAACCATTTTCATGCACTTTGAAGCTAATCTATTCTTAAATAATTTTAAGGGTATATTCTCCACATACATACTTAATGCATTTAAGAAAAATAATTTTTTTAAATACTAAATCTAAGACTTGAATCTTAAATCTACCTACAAGATGACATTTACTTATTAATAGATCTAATTTAGGTTGAATAGGATTAGCTCTTTTTTTTTCTTTTCTTTTCATTTAGAAGTCAAGGTGTGCTCGGTCCAACTAACTGCACTCGAGATTAATTTTTTCTTAATTCAATTAAAGGCAGACCATTTATGTTAAGATTAAAGAATTTATAATTCATAAAAAATTATCTCTTTATTGATTTTTTCAAAAAATTAAACCTTAATTAACGAAATAAAAAGCCAATATTTTTATTAACTAAACCACAACTCCTTAAAATGTATGGGATATTGAGATGACTAAATAGATATAAAAAAAATTACATCTAATTACACAACCTAAGACAAAATTTAAAAAATAATAATAATAAACCAGGAAAGGTAGCTGGATTCAATCTTACCGTGCATGCTTGACACACAACCACAAAGCAAACATGAAACCCGAGAGCCGATTTGGCTTTTTTACCACCTCTCCTGACACTTCTCCAACTACACTCGCCACGTTCATCTCCCCTAACCTTGAAAAGTACCGCTTCATGTGCCTTTATATTTATTATTTATTATCACTCATTTATTTCTTTTCTTCTTCTTCGTCTTCTTCTTCTGCCCTCTCCTCTGCATATAAAGGAGCTCTGCGCCCTCTTTCCTCGTCTCGTTAAGATGGAAAGCCCTTCACCCTTTGCCAAAGTACTGGAGAAGCAACAATCTATAAAGAACGAGCCCAGAACTCTGTTTGAAGAAGAAATGGAGTTAGCCAGAGTTTGTACCACAAGCGAGCTATTAATTTATTAATTACTTAGTAGATTATATATATATATATATATATATATTTCTTAGCATGTTGTTGAAAGTGAGGCTCATAATCTGCATATATTTGTTTTTGAGGAACAGGAAGCTGCTCTGGAAGTGATCAATAATACCCGAAAACAAGCACTCAAGATATTTTTGGAGGTAATTTTCCTATCTTCAATTTTACTATTATAAAGTTTAAAATTTTTAATTTTCAAGCTTGTCAAGTGTTATTATCAAATTCTACAAGTTTGTGGTCTTAGTTTTAGAAAAGAAAAGAATTCCTTGTTTTATAGTTGAATCGTAAAACGTGAACAATTGAACTTGATACAATTTTTGATATTAAAAAACTTATTTTTTGTTTAATAATTTAAATTATAAAATCTAGTTATATGACATTTTTTTTAAAGAGAAATTAAAAACATTTAAAAAAAATTGTATTTGAACTTTTGAGCATAAATGAAAATTTTCTTAGAAAGTGGACGAAACAAATACATAATTTCCTTAAAAGAAGCTCGATTATATCTTGGTCTGCCTGTTACTCATCACCTTGAAGAGATTTTGATGGTTGTAGGGATTGGAGCCGATAAAGATCAGTCCACTGATGCCAAAATGGGAATCATTGAATTTTGAGGAAGTGAACCAAGAATTCTGCTAGCTGAATGATGGAGGATCGGACTCCTTAATGTTTTTGTTTTCCTAGTAGTACTTGGTGTTTGTATCAATTATATATGACTACTGCTGATACCTATGGCTTTATATTTATATGTTTTGAGTAGATGGATCATAGTTCCCATCATACTTCATTACCTTTTATTGCCATCCCTCATCACAATGTGCCATGAAGAGAGCCTCACATTAATGTTGTTCTTGGAGTTCCTGTGGTGCTCATTAGATTGGTAATTGGTCTATCACATTTTTATTACTTAGATGATTCAATGAAAAGTAACCTTTTTTTTTTCTCTTGATTACTTTAATTTTATTTATATGTAATATGACTTAAAATCAAAATCTTCTTTCTAAAATGAAATTATGATATTGACCGATTTAAGTCATGGGCACCTTTTTTTTTTTTTTTTTTTTTTTTTTAACTCTCTTGATCATTGAAACAAGGATATGATTATTAGAAATTTACCATTTTTGTGGGTTTCCATTTAATTAATACTTGGTATTAATAAAACAGGCCCATAAATTTGATGCATTGTGGGACATGCTTTCAAGTCCAATATGTTTTAATATGGGCTATTACATGTGGAGTATAGGCCCAAGCTGATTTTAAACTTTAAAATAAGATTACTCTTCGATTACAAGGAGACAAAGATCTAGCTCATACATGTGGTTAGGAGTTCCTTCGACTTTCCAAGTTAAAAGATTGTCCCTACATGAGGAGGTTTTTGGACACCCTAATTTCTCCCTCAAAAGGGTAAAAATCATGAGGTGTTAACATTTGAAATATTGACATTGTTAGTAGAATTATTCAAATATTTTTAATAAATATTTTTTATATTATTCTCAACATTTCAATTACAAAAATGTTATCATTCTTTTCAATCCCTTTGTCATAATGATAGTATTAAACTTTTAGAACACATATGAGATCTTTTGATTCTTTTCTTAATAAATCTAGCTTATCCCTATTTACTAACATAATTGGATTGGGTGGTAAATCAGTTAATATCAATCCATCATGACATCCCACCAGACACCACAAATTTGATAGCCAAAATGCTTCCATTTTGATTCTCCTGTCCCCTCTCCGACCAGGACAACTCCATGGTCCTCCTCCGTCCATGATGCTCAAAGCCCTTTCCCTAGTTTTATTGTCGTTCCTCGTAAACTAAATAAAAAATAAAGTAGATAAAAGATTAGTCAAACAATTAATTAAAGATGAAAAGTAGAATAATGTCATCGAAAATATGAGAAGCTTGACCTGAGGCATGGATCAATCACTCTTTTCAAGACATTTCTTGCCATTGGTATAATAGTTTTATTTTTTTTTTATGGTTACACCACCCTTAGGATATAATAACCCAACCTTTTCTCGTTGTATCTTTACAATTACTGCACTCTCGTAAAGAAAGCTCTACCCCACCACCTTCTTCTTGCCCAAAGAGAGTTTGTATACAATGTTTGTGAAATAAAAGTGCAGATTACGGAAAATTGTATTAGCCTTTGGTAGAAATGGAGGTTGCCTTTTTATAGGCCTTCCCAATTTGTAACTAAAGTGGAAAACCAGTTAAAAATTTGAAAGAAATTTGTTGGTTACAAGGACCATATTTGAAACTGATGAAATTGTATACAATAATGAAAAATTTTCGATAAACTGATGCAAGTTTTAACAAATTTGTCAATTACCATTTAATTAAAATATAAACGTATGGATTCTTTCTTGAAAACTAAAAATGCATGGATTTGTAATTGATGAGTTATCACACAAATTTAATTTTTGAAAACCAATAGATTTGTAATCGACTGGCATAACCAATTTTTAATTAAAATCTATAACATTCCCCCTCCATTTTAATTAAAAATAAAAGAAATTTAAAATATGAAAAATATATAGGCCATAATGGATTACTATGCATAATAAAGGTAGCAATGCCTTGAACCTCTACTTAGTGAGTCAATGATTTCTATCCCAAAGTCACTAGTGAGCAAAGTCTTGAACTAGGACTACTTAAAGGATATAGGAGACCATATATCACACATATTATAATCCAGGTGTTAATTTGAGTTTGGTAAGCTGGCACATTACAACCTTTGTGCCTAATCCTAGTATTCATAGATGATCTAGAGAATAATCCTATTCTTATAGGAGTGGCCCTACTTCGACATCCATATGGGTGAAATTTGTTAAGGTGCTCCCATAACTATGACACCCCACTCAATGAACTACAAATTTCACTAAGAGTGTATAACACTCAACCCTCACATTCGTTATGGGATAGATGCATCTAAACCTTAGGAATGTGATAAGATTTTTTTTTTTTTATGCATCTTTCAATAATGGCCTCTCTATGATTCATTTTTCCCATTCAAAACCCAAATTCTCAAGATTTTTGATCATTGGGTTGGGTGTCCTCATAGGAAGTTCCACATTCTTTGGGCTTCAATCCCATTCCCCTCGATGTAATCCATATCTTCTCTTTGGCCAAAGTTTGGGTAAATGTATCAGCAATATTTTCACTTGATTCTATACAATTCACGTGGATTGTCCCATTATTCAAGTATGACCTCACAATGCTATGTTTCCTTTGAATAGATCTGGATTTCCCGTTATAAAAATGGTTACACTCTTTGTAAATGGAAACAGTACTATCACAGTAAATGAGTATAGGAGGCACTGGTTTTTCTCATAGAGGAATTTCAAACAACAAATCTCTTAGCCAACTAGCTTTTTCGGAAGTTAGTGCCAATGATATTATCTCTATCTCCATAGTTGACTTTGCAATTATTTGTTATTTTTTAGATTTCCAACTCACAGCACCACTACCAATCTTAAAAATATACCCTGAAATAGACAAAGAATCACCTACCAAGGTGTTCCAATCAACATCACAAATCCTTCAAGTATAGTAGGGTATTTTTGATAAAACAAACCATAATTTTTGGTAACGCATAAATTTCCCATTAAGTGTTGAACACAATTCTAATAAAAGGAATTAGGCTTGCTAGTAAATCTCCCTAGAATTCCAACTGCATAAAAAATATCGGGTGTTGTGCAATCAGTAAGATATTATAAACTGCCAATGATACTAGCATATTTCTTTCGATTGAGAATATCTTTATCATGCAAAGTGGAATATAAATGCACACTGGGTGATAAAGGCATCATAACATGTCTAGAATTATGATAGTTATATTTCTTCCAAAATTTTTTCTATATAATGGCACTGATCAAGAAAGATTCCATCATAATTTCTAGTTATTTTCATGCCAAGAATCACATTAGCCTCACCAAATCCTTCATGTCAAAATGCTTATTTAACAACGACTTAATAGTGTTAATCACCTCTAAACTTGAACAAAAAAGCAAGAGATCATCAACATACAAACATATGATAACATGACCATTATTGAAAAATCCAAAATATAGACATTTATCACTTTCACTTGATTTAAAACCATTTTCTATCAAGCAAGTATCAAATTCTCATGCCATTGTTTTGGAGTTTGTTTTAAACCATAAAGAGATTTAGTTAATTTGCATACCTTATCCTCTTGGCCGAGCATAATAAAACCTTCAGGTTGATCCATGTAAATTTTTTCACGCAAGTCTCCATTTAAAAATGCTGATTTAACATCCATTTGATGGATAAGCATATTGTGCATGGCGGCTACAGCTATAAGTACTATAATGGAAATCACTCTTGTTACAGCTGGAAAGTGTCAAAAAAATTCTAGTTCGTCTTTTTGTTTAAAACCTTTTGCAACAAGTCTTGCCTTATATTTATCTATGGTTCCATCCAATCTAAATTTTTTCCTCAAAACCCATTTACATCCTATTGTTTTATGACCAAAGGTAAATTTATGAATTTACAAGTTTTATTAAAAATCAAAAAATCCATTTCATCATTAATAGCTTCTTTCCAAAAATCAGAATCAGAAGAAGCTAGAGTTTCTTGAAAAGATAATGGTTTTTCATCTACATTATATAAATAATAATCTAAACTAAAATCTCTTTCTTTACATGTTTTTTTACTTCTTCTAGGTTCAAAATATATCCTCTTGGTTTTGAAAATGAGATGAAATTGAGGAACTAGGTTCAAAATCATTTTGCTTTGAAAGATCATGACTTCCATTTTTCTTAAGTTTAAAAGGAAATTTATCTTCATGAAATATAGCATCTACATATTCAACAGCAACATAAGAATCAAGATCAAGACATCTATATGCCTTACTTGTAGTTGTGTATCCAATAAATAAACATGTTGCAGCTTTTGCAGCCAACTTTGGTCTCTTTGGATTTGTTAATCTTACATAAACCAAGCATTCCCAACCTTTAAGATAACTAAGATTTGGTTTATAACCTTTCCACAACTCAAAAAAAGTCAAGTTAGTCTTCTTTTTAGGAATATGATTGAAAATATAACATGTAGTCAAAACAGCTTCACCCTACAAATTAGATGATGCACATAAACTAACAAGCATAGCATTAGTTAAATCAATTAAATTATAATTTTTATGTTTAGCTACACCATTAGAAGAAGGCTAATATGGAGGAGAAATATCATGAATAATACCCAAAGATTGTATGAATTTGTTAAAATCATTTGAATCATACTCATCACCTCTAGCACTTCCAAACCTTTTAATCTTCATTCCAAATTGGTTTTCAACCTCATTTAAAAAGATTTGAAATTTTTTAAAAGCATCACTCTTATGCTTAATCAAATAAATATAAGTATATTTTGAAAAATCATCAATAAAAGTAATAAAATACCTACAACCACCACGTGACAAAACTCCCTCAAATTCACAAATATTAGTATGTATTAATTCTAATAAATTGATTTTTCTTTCAACACTTTTAAAAGGTTTTTTAGTGATTTTAGTCAAACTACGAGATTCAAAATTTTCAAAATCATTATTTACTTTGGGTATTAATTCAAGATTACTCATATTTTTTTATATATTTATTATTATTATGACATAAACAAGCATGTCAAATAATATTAGAAGTTTGAAGAAACTTTATTCATATCAATATTCAACTTGGACATGCCATCACATGCATAGCCTTTCCCAACAAATATACCATTTTTCGGCAAAACATAATGCCCAAATTCATAAACCTCTTTGAAGCCAACCTTACCAAGAATAAATCCAAAAACCAAATTTTTCTTCATTTGAGAAGTGTAAAGCACATATTTAAGAGTCAATGTTTTTCCAGAGGTAAAATTCAATTCCATTGCTCCTTGGCCAAGAACCTTGATAGTATGACCATCACCAAGTCTCACTTCTTCTTTTTTTCAACGTCATATTCAAAAAATGTTTTGAACCAAGATTTGTCTTTACAGACATGCCTTACGGCACCAGAATCAATCCACCATCCCTCACCACCATTAAGCATGTTTATGTCAGATAACATCACCACAAAGGGCTCCTTGGTTATGTTGACCTGTGGATTAGGCCCACACTTCCGGAATTTGCAAACTCTAGTAGTATGCCCAAGCTTGCCAAACACAAAACATGCATTGCTATTTTGTTTTGAAGGAAGTCCTTGGTTCTTAAAATTTTGACTTGGTCTCCCAACAGAATGGTTCCCACAATTCTTTTTCACAATTTTCTTCTTAGATCTCAATTGGGCATTATATTTAATATTATTATTTTTGGGAAAGCTATCATTAGTGGCAACAAAGTTTACCTTTAATGTGTTACCTCCATTTGTAGTTCGAGCATCTTGATTCCTTGCCTCCTCTTCAACTCGAATACGAGATAAAAGATTTTCCACAATGATCTCATTTTGCTTATGACGCATCATTTTTTGGAACTCCTTTGATGAAGGCGGCAGCTTGTCAATAATGGCTACCACTTTGAGGTTGTCATCAATTCGTATGCCTTTAGACCGAAACTCATGAGCAAGCATTTGTAACTCTCAAATTTGTGACACCATTGACTTGTCATTCACCATTTGGAAGTGCAGCCATTGGCTACCAGCATACATCTTTGCACCAGCCTCCTCAGTGTCATTTTTTCTGCAAAGCATCCCAAGTTTCCTTGGCAGTCTTTCATAGTAATCATAAAGCTCATCAAAGAGGCAATTAAGTAAAGAATTGCAACAACCACATTCATCTTTCTCCCACTTTTGGAATTTCTTCTTATGAGGTTTCTTTTCCTCAACACTCATACCTTCGGTTGACTTATTAATAGGATTTTCCTCATTGAGGACATATGCCAAATTTAATAAATTAAGATAATACAAAACTTTTCCTTTCCATCTTTTGAAATGCTCACCATTAAAATGAAAAGGCATGTTAAGATCATTAGTGAGCTTAATTGGTTTTTCACAAGGAGAACTCATTTTTTAAAGAATTTTTCTTTTGAAACGTCCTAAAATTGTTGATTGATCCATGCCTCGACTCAAACTCTTCATACTTTCAGTGACATCCTTCTATTTTTCATCTTTAATTAATTATTTTACTAATCTTTTATCTACTTTATTTTTTATTTAGTTTACTAGGAACAACATTTCTTTCATTTTTCCCCTTCAAACCACACATAATTTGAAGCTTGTTACATCAACATGGTTCTAGATTTCACTTTTTTTTTTTCTTCTCTTTGCTTTATTAACTTTACCAATCTCTAAACAGCTTTTGATTTCATTGCATCCGTTGCAAGGATTTAACGGTTGAAAAGCTTGATGCAGGGTGACAG